TGTCAGGCAAGTCACTTAACTGCCCTAAACCCCGGTTTCCTCAGGCTTAAATGGGAAAATCGCCCCTACTTCACAGGGCCCTTGTGAGGATTAAATGAAATAATGCAGGCAAAGCACTTAGCATTCAGTAAGCGCTTCCAAAATGGTGGCTGTAGTAACTGTTCTTTACTGAAGTTGAATAGGGAGAGAATGTGATGAATCGGCCCTGGAAAGTCATTGTAATTCTTGAGCAGGCTATTGGCTTTAATTAATGTGGGTTAGGGGAAGATGAATCTGGCCAGAGTTTGGAGGATTGATGAAGGGAAAAGTCTGAAGACGGGGTGATGTCAGGAGGCTGTAAGAGTGATCTTGGCTCGATTTTCTGAGGCACTGAATTAGGCAGGTGGCAGTGAAAACTGAGGGGGAAGGAGAGTGGCAGCTGGAGGAAAGAATCTACAGAATTCAGTGGCTTGGTCAAGGGGTAAGAAGACAAAGATAATCCCCAAACTCTCAGTTGTAGAAACTGGGTAAGCCAGTGACAGAGGGGGTTACACAAGCCATGCTGACATGCATCCCTCTGACAGAGGAAAGCTGAGGTATCAGGGCAAGAGCTACCAGAAGGCGAGCCCCCGGAGGGCGGGGACCTTGGCGATGCTACTGACCTGATACCCGCAGCAACGAGGACAGTGCCTCACATCGGGCAGAGGCCCCAGAGGTATTTTTTAATGAGCGGATGGGTGGATGGTGAGAACATGGTGCACCCACAAGTAAGTAAGCTGAACAGTGATGTGAAGTAGCTGGTTTTTATATTATGAACAATAGAGCAGGCTCAGCCTTCAGTGTGGGTTAAATAAAAGTCCATATTTAATCTAGAAAGAAAAATGTTGCTCAAGGAAACATGAAAAACTGTCCATCCAATAGAAAGTATAAACTCTTGCAACTTGAACATTGATACAAAGGGAATTTTCTAATTCAGAGAACATAAAATAAACATACTTAAAATAGGCAGGAAAAAAAACTTGTTCTTGTACGTATTGTTTTATCCTTTCTATCCTGGGTATAGGATAAAAGAAACCCCTTACTTGCTTGTTAGAAGAAGAAAGCTCTCACTTGAAGTTCCTACTTGGCAGATGTCAGTTGAAAGCTCTGCTTATGGAATATGTTGCAGTGTCAAACTCTGTTGGATAATTGTAGATCAATGTGTCATGTGTGACATGGAACCATGGCATGCTGTACATTACTGATTTCCCAAGTGTTTGGAGCAGGTAGTAATGTGCTGGGAAAGTGCTCTTTATCTATCCACACAGTGTACTTGTAGAGCAATGGGGAAATGCTTTTGGTGGAAATTACTTTAGTCAGAAAAAGAATCCATTTACAATATGCGCCTTCTAACATCTTTCAGACAATGCATTGTATTAAAGAGGCATTTTTTGATTAATGTTTTATAAACATTTTTCAGCATGACAGCTTAAAGCCCCTGTAAAATTGTAAATGCGTGCATCGTGTTCACTTCCATAAAGTCAAATGCCATCTCATAAAGTCTAGTTGGATCCTGTCAACCATGGTGACACAGAATCAGTACCTGGGAGCATTAAAATTAATTTGCTTCATTTATATTACTGCAGTGATAGCAAGATGAAAAGAGTCCTATATTTAAATTTTACTTTAAAAAGAAAACTCTTTCTAGTAAGTTTGTTTGGTTTTTTTAAATTATTGCCATTTTTTTCTCCTACTTAAAGAATGTAGTGAAAAAGGAGTGATAGTCTGCACAGTAAATTTATGATGCAATCTGGAAGAATACAGATCCATTCATTCGACACACTCCTTTTGAGCACCTACTCTATGCTCAAAGATGAAGAGACCGCCGGTGGTAGTAAGTGCAGTGAACACTAGGCTGGAGCGTGTTGCAGGTTGGGTAAGCATAGAGTAGAAAGGACCTGATGGCCAGCCTGGGACTTTGAGGATGGCATCCCAGAGGAGGCGACGTAAGAGCTGAGGGCTTGAAGAGTGGGTGAAGCAAGACGTGGGGGATGGGCATTGTAGGCCAAAGGAGCTCTTGTGTAAAGGCGTAGTTGGGGGCGGGGGTGGGTGATGGGGAGCAGCACGGGCATTCCTCCAGGCTGGAGCACGGAGGCAGGAGAGGGGAGGAGCGTGACATATAGAGACAAAAAGGGATGGGGGCCAGGTCAGGAGGGTCCTCGTGCACCGCACTTAGGGGTCTCCCCTGGGTCACAGACTCCTGAGGAGTTTGATAGGATCAGATTTTGTGCTCGCTCTGGCCACAGAGCGGAAAAGAGCTTAGAGAGGACACACCTAAAGTCAGAGACTGGTGTGGAGACAGCGTGGGAATGCCGTTGAGAGCTGACCGGTCTGAAGGAAGCTTATGGGGAGGAGGTGTGAGTGGTCATAGGGACGCCCAGGAAGTCACTTCGTGCAGCGTTAGGTCACATTCCGCTCGTGGCATGCCTCGCCCTTTCACAGAGCAGTTCATCTGACTGAAGGAATGAATGATCGAGTGAGTTGTTCAACAAGCGAGTGAAGAGGATGAGAGGGGGCACATCACATAGGCTTCTGGAATAAGAGCTACCGCTGGTGTTCTGACTTGACTTGAAGATCACATTTTGCCCAATTCATGACCAAGTGGCAGAAATCACTGTGTGGTGAGTGCAGGGGCTCCTACAGGTTCCTAACCTCGCTCTATTGAATTTTGCGTCATCATCCTGTGGTGATGGCAACGTGGCAAAGATGCCCTAGAACTGACGTATTGAACTCACTGCCTCCGAGTGATGGCCACCAGAGCATGGAACGTTCGAACGTGGAAAAGTTAACTCTCACTCAGCTTCTCCCAACTTCTTTCTACACTGACCTTCGAGGACATGAAAATGCAGACTGGAAGCTCTCTCCTGGGGGGCGGGGGGGGGGAGGACTGAAAGGAAAGCAGGGAAAAAGAAAGATGGAAAGATACAGATAAATAGGAGATTGAAAAGAAACCCTAATAATTGGAAAGGAAAGTAGAAATCAAATGATTGAAAAGTAAGGTGGATTTTAAGACTGAGGGAAGATAAAGATTCCCGAAACAAATAACATATGACTTGAATCACTGGGGTCCCCCTTCCCTCACCAAGTGATTGAGCTGTGCATCCTCCCCAGGAGAGGAACAATCAAGGGTACATGACAGGGACTTGGGTCCTAATCCCTGGAAGCTAGGCTTTTTTTTCTCTCTGTTATATTATGTTCAATCATATTTTTAACATTAGTCGCTTCGAGTGCTAGTGATAGGAAATTTGATTAACGATTAACGAGGAGGTATTGCAGGCACGTAAAGCAAGGAGAAATCCCTATTTAATTCGTCGAACGTCTGTAGCAGCTGCTAGTCATCACGGATCCCTTCTCTTTGTCAAGCGAGGTGAGTGACTGTAACACAAGGCAAAGGAAGGAAAGCGCCTGTAACCGCCAGGGTCAGTCAAGAAAACTGAAAGCGCTCTTTCAACGTAGGAAAGATTAAACAGTGTCAGAAAACTGAAAGGGGGAAAGGGGGACGGTGAGGGCAAAAAGGAGTAAAGACCGCAGGAAGTAGCAAGAGCTAGGGGAACAAAGGGAAGTTGGGGTTCTCAGAGCCTAGGAGCTTGGAGGAGGAAATGGGGGCTCAGGCCTCTTAGGAGGGGCACAGCGAGCTATTAGCCGGAGCCAACTATTGCTGCCTCTGCCCCCTGAAGGTGCTGTTACTCGTAGGAGCCCCAAGTACCTCCTCCTCCAGCCTTCCTCTAGTGCCCCTGCTGGCAGAAGCATCCAGGGAGTGGGCAGACAAGGAGGGGTGGTGTTCGCAGAGCCCCAGCCCCAGCCCCTTCCCCGAGCGGCATACATACAGAAGAGTGCGTTTGAAGATGAGCCCCAAGAGCTGAAGAACAAGCACAGGGCCAGAAGAGAACATCACACAAATTGGGATGAGGGTCCAAAGAAGGTAGAAGGTCACTTGTACACTGAAAGCTTCTTGAGAGTAGAGACTTGGCTTCATCTTTCTGTCTGTGTGCCCTAGACACTTCTGGGGGTGTCCTAGCAATCACTTAGCTCCTTAAGCATATGAAGTCACAGGAACATCCTGGTATGGATGGCCGGGGAGTTCGATGCGGACTTCTGCTTCTGGAAGTGCTTCTGGGAAGCATCCAAGAGGAAGGAGTTCCAAAAGAACCTCTGGACAAGAAAGTTTTTTGCATACCACAAAGCTGCATTTCTGCTTAATGAAGCTACAATCCCCGTGGCACGTTGAACTGAAGACCTCTGAGACTTTGAATCTTCCCTGGCACAGAGGGCTAGAAATGCAGGTTGTGTGGGTTGCAGTTCAGACCCCACCACCTGGGACAGTTTCCTGACCCTGAGGTCCGTTTCCTCATCAGTAACGTGGTGCGAACCCTAGTTTTCACCAGCCTCCCAGGGTTATTGTGAGGCTTCATTCATTCATGGGAGAGCACTTGGGCAGCACGTGACATCTAGTAAGCCCTCATGGCATACTAACGACGATGGGCATCATTATTGCTAGCTTCATGTACCTAATTCCCCACACTAAGATGAATCTCTGCTGTGGCTTACCTTGAGACACCTTGTCTCTCTTGCAGCCAATTTCTGGTTACTGAGCCCACTTCAGCTTGCTGAGGAATGACAGAGCCCGAGTCTTCGCCAAGAAAGGGTAGTTTGAGTGATTTAGCCCAGCAGCCATGGTCCTTGAACGCTGGGTCAGAAACCCCCGCTGTCATCACTTTCAGGGACAAGTATCTCCATATTCCTACCATGTACTTCCTTCAGCCCCGCTTTTACTCCACCCCCATCCCTGCGCTCCTGAGCATCATCCCTTTGCGCCAAATAACCTCTCCTGGGAACAGGAGGAGGACGCTTAGCTCTTATTTTCTCATCATGATAACTTCCCAGGTTCATAATATCAGATGCTGCTTTTCGACTATCAATTGATTAAGTCTTTTATTTTTAAAAAGAAAGCTCTTTTGTTTTTTATATTGGTGAGAAGACAGAAAGTGCAAAAATCTAAACATGTACTTTCCAAGCTTTGAGAGAGAGATTGTTGGGGACGAGTTAAGTGTTTTCAGTTTATGGCAATGATTTGTGAGGCTATGAAAAAGAAAGCGGCTATGAAATACATTTTTGCATAAAGGTTTGAAATGTATTAGAAGGTAAAAATAATTGAAAAAGCAGAGCTTTCCTCAGTGGGTTATAATAAAAAGTTATTTATGTGCCATCAGTGTGCATGTTTAGGAGCTTGGGTCCTTCTCAGAGGCTGTTCTCAAAGAAACAGGAAGGAAGCAAAGCTATTAAAGCTATTCCATTGAAAAAGCTGACATACATACACAGTAATTCTGACAACTGGGCCGTATTAAAACAATTGGTAATAATAGTCAAATTGCTGGTGTCTGATTTCTCTTATAAAAGCTTAATAGGTACACACTGTAGGCAGCTGTTTGCAAAATCTGCCAACCTTGCCCTTGGTATAATAGAATGGTAGACTCAGGAAGTAGTATTCATTTACCTGAGTTCCATTAAGACCTTCACTGTGGGGTTTAAACATTCAGCCCTAATCTTAGAATTCACCTGCCATATAGTATCTCATAAAGCTCTTTGAGATCGTTGGCCAAAAGAGAAGGCACAAAGCCTCTATTAATGTTCATTTAGCGGAAGTGCCCTCCCACTTATAATGGTATATATCATATATTATCTTACCATATCCTTTCAGTTCTCAAAAGTGAACTTTGGGACGTGAAATGATGCCGGGCAGGCGTCCAGCGGACTGTTTCACGACAAAGCAAGAAAAGATCCATTTTTGAATCTCTGCTTTACTCATATTCTTCAGCCTTCTGAGAAGCAACTCTTCTCTCCTCTCCTTGGTAGACAGCCTGCTAATTTGCAGTGGGAATTATTGGTGCCTTTGAATGTTGACCACCTTGTCAGTTTCATCTGTTCTGGGTAGAGCTTAGAGTTTTAGGTAGTGAAAGGAAGATGGAAAGATTTAATGAGTCTTTTGAGACATTCCCTATGAACACATTCAGGGGGAAAGATGGTAATAACCTAGTCCAGAGTTCCAGTTTTAATGGAGTGTCTTTAGTTTGATGACAGACTGAATTTGCCTCTAGATTTTCTGTCTTCTTTGTTCATCAGGAATTCCAATGCTCAAGATCGTGTTTGCAGGCCACGAGCACCTCTCTCTAATATCTGTGCCCCTGCTCATATACCACCCAGTTCAGATCCTTCTGGGAAGTGTGTTGGTGCCAACAATAAAGTCTTGGATGGTGTCAAGGCAGAAGGTGAGACTCTGGAAAGATCTCATTTGAATCCAAATCAGACTCAAATACTATTTTTGAATCTTAGCTGTTCATATACTTTAACTTTTGCTAGCATATGCTCATCCTCAAGTACATATTTTCTTAACCAATCACAATAATAATGACACATTGATCCATATCAATTTGAAAAGGAGGACTGAGGGTTACATGTTTTATATTGTTATGAAAGTATACCTAAAATGCAGTTTTAAGAAGCTTTTTAAAAAAAAAAAAAATCCACTCACATTGGAGGACATATTGCAATGGGGTAAAGGTGAATATACTCAAAATATCCTACCCCTCCTCTAAGGTATACACCTTCTTTCCCCCACCCCGTCTTCCCTGCGTGTCCTGATTTCACATGCCTTTCTAAATCTGGTAGCACCTGGCTTTATCTAAAATGTCTACTTTATTTTTAATTTTCCAGACACCTAGTAACTTGTTTGCACAGCGAAACTATGTGTTGGAGCATTTAAAAAGTTTAATTAACATAGGAGCCCACACAATGTCAATTTCACCACGCTTAGCTCAGAATCTTGTAACTTATTCGATATCTATAGATTTGCTTTCCTAAATTATCAGCCAAAATAAAATCCGGTGATTCATACAGAGTTTCGATGCTGTGTGTACCATCGGAGCGCCCGGCGGGCTGTGGGCTGGCTCCTTCCCAGTAGCTCAGATGTTACAGGACTGCCCCGAGCCTGGGCACAAGGCAGCAGCTGTTACCCGGAGAAGAGTGGGAGAAAGAGACAGCCAGTGGCGGGGGCATGCCCGGTGTGGTGTCCTTAGTGTCCTGAAAATGGAATCGCCATGCTACCACCTCTTGATCTCTGTGTGTGCTAAGCACATCCCCATCTTCCCCTGGTTCGGAGCGTGGGCCTTGAGCCAGCCTGCGAGCTCAGCCACTCCTCTCCGGGTGACCCTGGCCAGCTTATTTCACTTCTCTGTGCCTCAGACTCACGAGAACATCTGCTCCTCAGAGTTACAGAGGCTCCTCTGGCAGGGGTTTGATGAAAGCTAGCTGCTGTAATTGTCACTATTGTCATTGTCGTTCATTACTGTCTACAACACTGTAGGTAGCTCTGCTGTTGCCTCTGGACAGCTTAGGAAGGAGGCTCGGGGAGTCGAGCAACTTGCCCGAGGTTACGTGGGGTGGGTTAGTCAGTTCTAGAGTGAGGACCAGAACCCTGGTCTGTTTGGTCCCCAAAACCTTTCCCTGAAAGCACAGGGACACTCGAGACAGAAATACAACATTGTTTTTAGAAGGAGTGCCCTAGGTCCCCGGGATCCTACCTGAACAGGTTAGCCCACCCAGCACCTTCATTTATTTTTCCACTTACCAGAATGGTAGCGATTACCATTCCTTACTGGGTACCACTCAGGGCTCCAGTCCGCCCACTCAACAGTTGGTAGAGGAGCGGTTTAGTACCTTTTTATTTCTATTACTATTTAGCCCTTTTGAAAACTTCCATTTATATCTGTTGATGTATATACGCACTGTTGGTCAGCATTGATACACATAAATTTTGACAAAGAATGAAGAGAAGTATTTAAAAATCCTAATATTCTGTCAAAAATATGCAGTTGTAGTGAACAACAAATTAAACAGAATGAAGTTTGTCTTCTGAATGTTTAAAAGCAGAGTGACAGAAGCATTTCCAAAAGGGAGGCTAAATTGGACAATGCTGTTCATTCTCCTTTTGCACAGAAACCACTCCAAACCCGGGAGGTGTTGGCTGCCTTAGAATAATCCAGAAAGCGTGGAATATTTGCCCATCCCATTTGACCACAAAAATAAATACACACTGTCAATCATAAGGGTATCCATGAGTATCTCTTCTGCTTTACAAATAGGACTGATTGAGACCCACGGCCACCCTCCAGTGTACAGCGGGATGGTATGAGTGGCCAGAGGGGGCTGGAGAAATGACAAAGTCCACTAGCCAGTGAGGTGGGCAGGTGGACCTGTTTGTGTCCAGAGGTTTGGATTGTTGGTTAGGTAATGCTATCGGGGTGGGTGGGCTTCGTCTTCCTTCTAGTAGCATAAATTATCTGGTGTTAATTGATGCTTTCGTTTTGTTCATAGATACTGTCCAGCTCTGAACATCATGTTGTCCTTTCTTACAGGGAGTGAAGTTGACGAGGCCAACAGTGTAAGAAGGGAGGCACTCTTCATGCAGCGATGTATATATGTGCAGGATTGCACATGCAGACAGTTCTGAGGGCTTGTACTTGGGAATGTTGCTTCGATGCATATTTTATTTTTTTACACAAAAATATGATATAACAGTTTAAGTGCCTTAAAATGTGTTTGACAGGAGCGTTATTTCCAAAACCTACTTTGTTGGTTACTGCCAGGGATGGTACCATATTTTGGAGAGGTTTAATTTTTTTTTCCCAAGCACGGGAAACCATGATCGTGACAAAAAGCAAACATGCTCCCCTCGTACCACCTTGGGTGCAATACAACCCTTCACTAGTTACTGTGCTGTTTGAAATGAGGTCACACCGTCAGGAAAATCCCTTCTGATGACAGTGAAAATTTCCAGTCTTATTCATGAATACTTTGATTTACTGTGTGATTCTTTGTTTCTACAACTGTGACATGTCTCTTCCTTATCAGCTCAGCAGGGGTCATGGATTGCATAGATGCAGAAAGGCGTAAGTTATCTGCATTTCTTGACATCATTTTTTAGACATTCCTTCAGATAGTTTCCACACAGAAATTCCTCAGTCCCATTATGAGATTGTGGTGTTATATGTCTTAAATTTATTATAAGCTGCTTCAAAGAGAGAGCCTGATGTTTGAGTTAGAAGTAAGTGAAGTTTTGAGGTAAACTACAGGACTTGTATTCAGGATTTTTAAAATTTTCATTTATTTTCCCTTTTTCCGCCATAATTTCTTTCTTAACTGTTTTCCAGCACACTTGCCAACTCCTAACAGCCAAATGTGAGATGTAAAAATGTTACAGTCAGTTTGAGAACAGCAACAGTTAATGATGGATTATATTCACATTCCACAACTGAAACCAAAATTTTTTCTTGTTACACAGATGTCTGAGCACAAATTGCCCCTTTTAGCCAGAAGCAGCCTGTTTCATCCCTGAATTAAGCACACTTAAAGGCATTTGAGACAAGTTATTAATGAAAATTTCCTTGGCAGATTTGACAAATGTTTGCAACAATTTCTTAAAATTAAATCATATTGTTCTTATGAATAAATAAAAATATAAAGGTCATGGACACAAACAAATGTTACATATACACATTCTGTCTAGCCAGATGGAAAGAAAAATGGGCACAGAAAATGCAAAACCATTCATTAACCAAAAGATCAAATAAAACAAGTCCCCAGTTGGGCATCAGCTTTCAAAGGAGAATTCAATCTTTGCTTCCACTGTGGCTGGACGAACTTTCACTGGACCCAAATAGAGAAGAAAGCGATATAGAGAATTAAAGGACACTGTTCCTCTGTTTCCTGCCCAGCATTCTGTCACGTCCTCTCTGCATGTCCTCTCTTGATTTCACAGACAGTATCGGCATCCTGGGTCACACTGACGCTGACTCTGTGGTCAGCAACGGAAAAGATCCTTCCTTAGAAACTTACCAGGTTTATCAGTAGCGTAAATTCATATTATCGTCACAACCCGGTCTCATCTCGTGTTCCTTCTGACCATTTCAATATTACTGAACCTCATAAATTTCACAAGAGTTATCCTCAGTGTAAATTTTAAGGCTAGCACCAGACTCTGCAAAAATCTGTGGTGAACAGGCTGTTTGTCAAGAATTTCACTTATATCTAAAACTCCAGTAATTTCGATGCTCACGAATGGAGCACAGAAAGGTTTTCATGTTTTGTTCCTACAAGTTTCTTGGAATTTCAGAGGCAATGGGGTTGTCTGTCTGAGCTATAAAAATCTTTCTCCCTAGCATTAGAATACTGATTTTTTTCTCCCCAACTTATCTACCTCTATTGTCTAACACCTACAGTAGGTGTGATTATGGGATAAGGTTCAACTGAAAATGCTATAACATGCTTTAAAAAACATGTTTTGTTTTCAAATAATCTCTACATAGTGCATTTTGATGGCTTTAGTGATACGTTTATGCCTATTTCTTTTTTTACACAGTTACTGTGGTGTATTTTTCCATAAAGAATTAAAAAATAAAATCAAAATTTATTTGTAAGTCATGCTTATTGGGATTTAATTATTCACCTCAAAATATTTTATTATTGTGTTATGCACTGTCAGGCTATCCGTTTATGCATTTTTTTTTGTCTAAATGTATTTATGAAGGAAATACATTAGATTATGTTTACTCATTTTTCCACTTGGTTTTTTTTAAGTGGTTGTTACGAAATTTGATTTTTTTAAATGGGTGATAATGTTAATCTTTTCATGTGTTCTTTTCTAAGTTTTAAATTCTGTATTTTTTTAAAATTCCCTATTCTGTTTAAAACTAACACACCTCTGGCTAATGTTCAGTGTTTGTTTATGCTAAATACCAAATTTTTACAAAAGGACTGGTGAAATAATAAAGTGGATTATTTATGATGAATGGAAGATGGAAATAATTCTATGATTAAACAAAGAGATGTTTCAGAAATCACAAGAGAACCTGTGGCTTATTTTTAACCTGGTTTCAGATGCACTCATAATGCCTTCCAAGTCTCTCTCGATTTCTCTTTATTCATTCCGGTACTATTATATCATTTATGCCTAAAAACACATAAGCTTCATAATCGTCCAGGTATCCATGTCATCAATACCTCCTCCATGGCATCATGTTAAAATCCAAAATTCGCCCTTGCTTTTTGGTTAGAGTTGTTTTCTCTGCAACAGGGTTGAGAACCAAAAGAGAAACCTACCCAACAGGAGGGGCTAAATTTAAGTGATCTGAATTTTAGGCACCCCCGTCATATTTTCAAGGGATAGAAAAGACAGAGCCTTGGAACACCTTTTCCAAGCTCAGTGTTTCTTTACGAGCACCTTACCTTGTGTGGAATTCCATATTTGTGTCTTCTTCTGTGGCTGTCTTCCTGGCTTAGCAATCCTCTTCTCCCTGGCAGGCTGTTGGAAATGCCATCCCCTCAACGGGGCTTTCCTGCCCGTCCCCCCAACTCCAAGCCAGCACCAGACTTGCTCCCTGTGACATACCCTTAGAACTTGTCCTTCAAGTTCTGAAATCTTGGCCTCATCTGATCATGACGTTGCATATGTCTCCTACAGTGTGGCCCCCATTTCTGTTTCTCTGCAGTGCCTAGCACAGTGCCTGGCTCAGAGCAGTAACCAAAAAATGCATGTCAATTTTCTCAATTGTGATCTTAATAAGTAGGACATGAACCTTCGAAATTCTGAGAGAGCACTTCCCTACATATAGATCACTTCTAGTTTACAAGGAAAATTGACTTCTTTACTGCTGTTCCTATCTGAATAAGACTGGAGCTGCACCGTGCTACTCAAGAGAAGTGCATTACTTCATAGTGGTGTAAATACGAACTCTCCAAGGTGACATTGCAGGTGTGAAAAGCAAACAACTTTCATCTTCTCTGCTCTGACAGCACAGTAAACCCTCAATAATTCAGGCTAAATCAGGTTGGGTCAATCGGAATTAGTGACTACTTTATATTGCATAAAAAATAAAGAGTTTCCCTTGTAGAAGTTTTAACATACTACAAAGAGTAGATACAGATTATTATGATTATCATCCTATCATTGGTTTGTATATAGACATAAATGAAAGGTCTTATAAGAGTATATTCTCTCTGGCAAGCCAACTCATCTTATTTACACTATAGGACAGTTTCTCAAATGTGAGTAAAATAGAACCTCATTCAAAGGGAAACTCATCTACAGAGCCAATTCTGAGAAACTGCATTAAACAGTATACGACCGTAACTAACAATCCATCGGGGCCCATGTGCTTGTGGACACAGGCGAGGACGAGACCCATGAAATCACAGCACGATTCTGAGTCATAGATGGTCCCCTGGATGATTTCAACAACTGAGAAATTCCAGACAGCCCAGGGTTTCTGTGAGACCAGGCCTTAGAGTCCGCTGACAGGAAAAGACAACACACTGAAGAGATCGATCCTGGCCTCAACCATACGCGTGGATCATTCCCTCCACTATTCCAGATGTGAAATCCTTACAACATGGTTGGTTTGTACTCGCTGCTGGAAGTTCCAGAGTCTGACTCTGGGTGTTCATGGAGAGCACTGTTGTCAGTGTGGCGTCCTGGGCTGGTTTTGCCAACGTGCTAAAAGCTCATCCTGTATCTTTTCCACCAATACGTGTTCACCACGACTTCCTATCCTGGGCCCCGCTCCACTGGCATCTCACGTGTGGTGTGTTCTGACAGTGCCCTCGCCCCACAGCCGTACCTGAGAAGTCCCATGCGCGTTGAAGATGGAGCAAAATACCATTTTATCACTCACCTCTCTGCTTACGAAGCCAAAGAGCGTTGTGTGACATCCTAGATTTGTTACTAGGATCAAATGAGATAATCCCCACAAACAGCTTGTCACAGCACCTGCCACTTGGCAAGAACTCAATTAGCGGCAGCCATTATCATTGCCCAACAACGGATGGGACCTGGGTAAACCACGCTGGATGTGTAGAGTCAGGTGTCAGGCTCAGTTCTGCATGACTTCTAATTATGCAAAAGACCTATTACAAAGTCCATTAAATGTCACTAATCAAGTCAGGAGGTGACCAGGGCATGAGTCTTACTTCATCAGTTAATGAAGATACCTGACTCTGAATTTCAAGATGGTTGCAGCATCTATCCCTGTCTTCCAGCAGGGATAGGAAGGCCCTCCCAGCCCACCATTCTATCTGGGTCACGCCTTTTTCTGCCTACTCCCAAGAACTCCAAGCAGAAACTTTGCCCGGTTTCCCCCAAAGCCCTGAGTCTGGCTAAGAACCATCTGAAAAAGCAGTTGACAGACAGAGCTGCCCCCATATTGATTCCGATTGACTAATGCCTGCCTGGGATGAGTTCTGATTCGGGGGGCTGCTCCCAGAGCAGGCACTGTGGTCACATGCCTCTCAGAGGGCCCTTCCTTGAGCTCCCTGCATCCAGGCTGAAACGTTCCCCTTCCGCTCAGTTGAGTGCCACCGTGGTCCTGGCGTGGCTGGCTGTCCATTCCACACGCCCCCTTTCCACTCACCCCTTTAAGGTTAACATTCCCAGGAATTCCGGTGTCCGATTTTTCTTCCCATCCCCCACCCCCTGCTTTTCCCAGTGCCTTTCCCACGGTCCCAGCATCAGCCACCTTCTGTAAACCAGCAAGAGCTCCCAGATCAGTAGCCCTGAGTGCACATCTGACTACACTTGGACATTCCCACGTGGGTATCCTCAAGGCACCTCCAACCCCACACTCCTGAAGAAAAGCCAGCCACCTTTTCCTTTCCTTTCCCTACACGCAGTCCTCCCCAAGCCCACCTCCTATGTTGCCACAGCAACCAGGCCTGGTGACCCATCCCCCCAGACCTTCACCTCTCCCTTTTCATCTTCACTAGTCACCAAATTCTCTTGATCCTATTACAAATCTTCTCCTTAATCTCCACCTTCCTCACCCCACTGCCAGTGTCTTAAAATACCTTAAAAATGTTATTTTTTTCCTCCAGTGATACCTTTCTCCAATCCAGGGCACATTTATCAATCGCCTGCCATGTGCCAAGTGCTCTGCTAAATTCTTTACATGAATTAACCCCACTTAATCCTTAAGACAATTTTGACATTGGTGTGATTATTCCCATTTTACAGATTAGAAAGTGGAGGCTCCAAGAAACTAAGTTCCAGGTGCCACAGCTCATAAGTTGTGAAGCCTGGATTGCCTCCTGGGTTGCTGATACGGCCAGCACCTCTGTGCTGATGACTCCCCATTTTCAGGATCCCACCGCAGCCCCCACCGCCGTGAGAGACAATCATCGGTTATTACCAATTGCCTACTGCATTTCTTCACTTGCTATGATATCACTTATCAGGTTGTGCCGGACTATCTTTGTCCACATATCTCTCCCCCTCTAAATAATTCACTTCTTCAATGGAGGACTTGGTTTTGCTTATCTCTACAACCCTGATGACTAGCAGAAAGTTTGCCTGATATTAGGGACCTCAATAAAGGTTTATTGAATAGTGAGTTAACCTATAAAGCCCTCCAGATTACTTTTCTGATTCTGGAGGGCAGATGTCTTCAGATTATGAAACACTATTTTTGGAGAGTAGCATGTGACTCAATTATCATTCAGTGAATGGAAAGCATCATGTGAATCAATCTACAAGTGCTTCTTAAAGGACTCTTTTTTCATGAAAACAATAAAAATAATAGTGACAGTTTCAAGGCCAGAGTATCTAGACCTCAGTATCCCTCCCGATGCACATTCCTTGTTTTGCCATCCGCTGTGGGAGCCATCTCTCTGGCTGCTGTATGTGCAAGGGTCCTGAGGTCAAGGTCAGACATCCAGCCTAGAGAAGCATGTAGCTTTTGGCCCCAGGCTCATCAAACAGACCCTGACTCTCTGCCCTTCGTCTGCCTTCTGCTTCTCACTCCTCCGGGACACACATGCGTCCCTGCTTACCCTCCTGGGACATTAACCACTCAGCCCCAAATGCTAAGTGAGGATCCAACCAAAACTCAACTGGCGAGGAGAATGCATGGGCAGATGCAAGAGAGAGCACTGGGCCAGGCATAACAAGGCCAGGCAGGCCAGTTATTGTAAAGGGAGCCCTACATCAGGGCCTTTTACCTCTGGGTCACTGGTTCAAATCCAGCCAGGCCTCGGCTGACAGAAAATCATTACCAGCTCTGTGTCAGGTTGCTTGACAGATGGAAAATGAGTTTCTGTCTCCGTCCAGCCCGCAAGTGTCCACATCACACTTGGCACTAAGCAGCTCTCGACTCTGTGGAGACAGAGGAGAAGTCAGGCGACAGTCACCCTGGGGTCAGGCAGGTCCCTGAGGTCAGGCGAGCCTGCCTTTCAGCGTTCTCTGCGTGCGGGTCTGACAGCCTCCTTGTCTCAGCCTTTTCATGAGCGCTTTATTAATCTGCTTGTACTTTTTTTGTCTGAAGACATTGTTTAACAAGTCGTTTGAAGTAATGGAACAGCTGAGAAAATCTGATTCCGTGGCATCGAAAGATGAGCAGCCAAATTATAACAGGATAATATCTAAGAGGACATTTTTTTCTCCTTGGTTGGGCTGGGCCAAGCCAGGCCAGGCTGGGCCGGGAGCCCTGGGCTGCTGAATACATCCAGCGGAAGGGGTGGGGCTGCTGGGCAGGGTGGGCTGGAACCACAGGCTTCACCCTGAAGCTCCCTAGATAAGGGGCAGTGGGAAACAGTTCCCTCTGGGGCATTTGATTTTCCTCTCTTCTTCCCTCTTAAGAGCATCAAAGCCACTGGTCTAAAGGCATTTCAAGCTTAGAAGAATCCTCCTTCCCTTCCTGTGCGGAGACTAGCTCTGCCAACCCCTCGGAAGGGTGTCTACCGTCAGACACCCACACACTGGGCTTTCCTCATCACAGCCACGTAGGAAGAATTCACACCCAGCACCCTGATGGTTCTGAGAAATGCAGAGCATAGTCTGACTCGGCTGCATATT